ATAAAAAATCGCCGTATTTTCGAAACCCAGACGACTGGAAAGCAGATGGCCTTGGAGTCTACAAAAACGATGGAACTCATGTTGTTGCGTATTACGAGGACAAGAATCCGGAAATCCGCTGGATATCCAAAACAAAACCAGAAGATTGCAAACGCTCCACAGTTCTTCTCAAGAGAACGTACTGGACGCACGTACAACATCCTGATTTCCGCAGAAGAGCTTATGAAATACTCAGATATAGTGGGCACAGCTTTACGCCCGAGCGATTCGTACTTTTACAGTACAGTTTCAGCGGAAAACCACATGCGATCACGACCAAACCACACGGCAATTCTAAGTCCGAGAAAGCTTTTACTCGCACCAAACCTGGAGTTTTGGAGAGCATCAAGGGAAAGGTGAAAGGTTCTGCTCCTCCGTTCAAAGTGTATGACGAAGTGTTTGAAGAGGCTGGTGGCCTACTCAAGGTTTGCAGTGTCTCAGATGTTCACAGAAATAGAAAGCAAGTGGAGAACGCAAAATATAAGGGAAGGGAAGTTCGAAGTCAAGACGAGTTATACGACCTAACCTTCAAATCAAAAGAAGAGGAGGAAACAGGAAAAGTTTATATTCGACGCCTTCAAGTTGCACCTAGTCCGGCATGCGTTTTGGCTTCTGATAGGCAAGTTCAGGATGTTAAGCGGTTTTGTGCCAATACAACTCAAAATTTTTCAGTGCTCTCCATCGACATAACTTTCAACATTGGCGACTTCTATGTAACACCTACAACCTATAGGCATCTGCTGCCGGACGACAGGAGAACTGAAAACCCACCTCTTTTACTTGGGCCAACACTAATACACACGAGAAAGGATAGCGACACCTTCAGCTACTTTGGAGCCACACTTACAGGACTTGAAAACGGCACTAGAAACATACGATTTATAGGCTCAGACCGAGAAGATGCCGTCGAGAAGGGAATGAGTCCTTATCTTCCTGTTGCAACATGGCTTGCTTGCAAACGTCACGTGGTAGAGGACTGTAAAAGGAAGCTTCGCTCGTTAGGAATCTCATCAGGGTGTTGAAGTCCTAAATGTAATAACTGTCCTAAATGTAATAAAGTCCTAAATGTAATAACATTTGGTCCTAAATGTAATAAATCCCTAAATGTAATAACGTTCGGTCCTAAATGTAATAAGCCTCCTATGCAATCGTTTAACTGCGCTAACATTGAGATGTTAAAGTGACAGCTGTTGCACCAAAGAATCCTCTGACCAATATTTATGGGATATTGCGGGCTCACTGATATTAATCAGCGGCTTTTTATTTGTTAAAGACGTAGGTTGAGAAGCATTGGCTACAAAACCTTATTCTAATACTGATGTGCTTTTGGCATCAAATTGACGGACGCAGAAGCAACGAGAACGTTGACTAATAGCTCTCTCTATATCATTGGCTCAGACTCTTAAGTCTAACAGATTTTGACGAAATACTTCTGTCCTCAGTGCTGAAGTTAACACTTGATGAACCAAGTTACAAGGAAAAAGAAGTCCACCGACTTATACGTTAGACAAATTTTGGGCTCAGAAGGGCATTTTTTGTACTGTCTTCCCTTGCCAGATTTGTACGGGTTTGCATAAAATATATTCATATGCGTTATTGACCGAACGTGAGGTCAAAATGGCTATATATTGGCCGAGTTCTTTTTTTTTGCGTTTTTATGGACTGAGACGAATTCACGGTCCATAAAAAAGTAGAAAAAGAACGAGGCTAATATCCAGTAATCTTGACCATACAAGAGAGTTTATATTCTCTTGGCTTAATCATTAAAGGATTCATTGTATAGCAAAAGATTTCGCTTTGATAAGAATCAAGAATGGCCTGTTTATTTCGAGAGCCGATAGTGAAAGCCAACTGTGTTTGCAGCACAATAAACCCAAGAGGGTCGTTTATTTTTTCTATGCATATATGAAAACATTATCCAAAAGTTACGAACTTTGTAAGTTTTCTTGCGTGGGATCAATACGGGGGATCCCGAACGGGCGAGGGTTGGCCCATCATGCCCGCTCAGGTAGCCAATCAGAACACAGGATTCACTTCGTCTTGCCCGCGTGCGCTGCTAGCTATATGATAATGTGACTTGCAGAGCAAGATATCGACTGACCAATGATATGTTATCCCATTTCACGATCACAGGTCTCGACATGTTGCCTTTTTTCCAAGCAAGAGTCAAATTGAACCATTGAGCTACACCATTCAACACATGATGGTCAGTTGGCGGTCTAATGAACCATTCATTTTTTTCCTTTAGCCCCTTATGACGGGTTCATCAGTTCCCGAACCGAAATATTAGGAAAACATACATTTTAAAGTTGATCTCAAGTTTATATTTCATTTTTTGTCTTCACCTCTTCTCCCCGCCGTGAGGGGAGAAAATGAATAGATAAATAGATGAATGAAAAAAGAAAGCTCAACAGTTTCCACTTATAGTCATATGGTACATGAACTGATTACTGAGGTGGAGTAAAGCCATAGAGGGCTGGAAATGCAACACCCCAGGTTCAAAATTGAATAAATCAGGATAGTCATTCTTAAAAAAGAACTCAAATGCTTCATTAGAATCAATTGACACTGAATAACATTAATGTGCAAAATTTCAATAACGCTACTGATAATAATAATTTTCTTTTGGATTAACATGTGACACAGCGAAATCATTCAAACTGCTCTAAAATGGTGCATCACTTCTAAAGACTTTAACACGAACGATAACATCAACAATAGCATGCTAGTTCATCATCAATTGTAGTAAATTTCTTTCCCAAAAAGTCTTAATGGTTACGTACCAATCGATTCCATCCTATTGAGCTTCCAGCCAAGCACTAGCCCACATTGGGCTGGAAATGATTTTCTTCAACCACTATAAGGACCATACTTCGACTGCTGATATTTCTTATGTCTAGCAAGTAAAAAGACGCTGATTGATATCAGCGGGCCCATAATGTGACATGTATACTGGTCAGCGGTTTTTTTGGAGCAACAGCTGTCACTAACATATCAATGTGGATGTCCGCCATAACAACAATGCACTGCAGGAGTTAAACGATTGCATAAGAGGCTTATTACATTTAGGACTAAATGTTATTACATTTAGGACTAAATGTTATTACATTTAGGACTTTATTACATTTAGGACCAAATGTTATTACATTTAGGACTTTATTACATTTAGGACAGTTATTACATTTAGGACTTCAACACAGGGTACCTTACATCTTCTCTACGTGACATATTTGGGTCTGATGCCAACCATGAAAAAGGGCTCATCGATTCCGAAGCATGCATGGACTTTGATGCTAAACTTGAGAGTTTGGAAAACGTGTGGAATTCAAGAGAAAAAACATCAAGGGGTACAGCACTCTCCGATTCAAGCAAAGCAGTATTCCACAAGTACTTTGTCGCACACGTTGCGGAAGACATGAAGAAGAAGATGATTTCCCCCGTTAGAAAACGTGCTGGCCTAGGGGAAGCCTTTTTTTACAACAACGCAGCAGAGTCCAAACATCAGCGGATAAAAGCACGAAAAGGGCAGATGTACGGGGAAAGAAAACTCGCCTGGACTGAAGTAGTTGACCTGCTAAAATCTATCTCTGAAGAGGAGGAAAGGAATTGCGAAAGGGCTATTGTGGATGAGGGTCCTTTCAAGATAAGGCAGCAATACAGTTCCAAGCTTCATGTTCCCTTCTCCACCTACATCGGGAAGTCGCACGCCCAAAAGGAGAAGATTAATAGGAGAGTTCATGAAATTTCAATGGAGGCATTTTTACAACTGGAAGAAGGCTCGATCAATAATGCAAAGGCTAAGAACAAGAATCTGACCAAATGCGACCATTGTTTATGTTATAAGACGAAACCTGTGTGAACATGATTCCTAGACAGGTCCGTTAATGTTAGTTATTGCTGAAATTATTTCCAGTTTTTTTAAATCAACATCATTCTCACTTTTAAATTAAGCAACCGTGTAGCATATTTTGTCTAAAATTCACTCATTATTATTATTAGGGTTAGTTGGTGAAACCTGTGTTAAGATGACTGACATTGACAGGTCCCGTTAATATTAGATAATGGTATTCCTCGTTGATTAAAGCTCGATATATTTTCACTGATAATGTCGAAGTTTTAGTTAAGATTGCGTTAACAAGAAGTAAGTCAACGCTAGTGATGCATCACTGCATGTGGATAAAGTCAAACCCTGACAGGCCTAATGTCAATTTTACTCAAAAAAGAGAGGTTGATAAATTAGTTAATGGACATCCACAGCATGATATTAAACATTATTACGAGCAAAGATATTTTTTTCCGGTATTGACTTAATATCCGCGGAAGTTATCCTCCTAAGGGGAAATTAGTGTGGGTACACTTGATTTTTATTTGGCTCTCTTGATCCTTTGGCCTTGCCTATAATTCCATCTTTTAGGCTTTGGGGTAATTTTCCGCCATGCCGTCTTTTTTTTTGCTACTAGCAAATGACTGGAAAAAATGGGGTCAAAATCTTGTTCGAGTAAGCGGGGGTTTCGCTTAGGGTTCGAGCACTTAATTTTAGTCACGCGCGTTATCGTCGTGGGGATAAATGAGCCAAGCACTTGGTGTCTTTGTACAAAATTTGTGCAACATGCCCTGACATCCGTTCCGTGTTTTAGGATTTGGGGTCATTTTCCGCCGTTCCAAGTTTTAGGATCTGAGGTCATTTTCCGCCGTTCCATGTTTTAGGATCTGAGGTCATTTTCTGCCGTTCCGTGTTTTAGGATTTGGGGTCATTTTCCGCCGTTCCGTGTTTTAGGATTTGGGGTCATTTTCCGCCGTTCCGTATTCTAGGATTTGGAGTCATTTTCCGCCATTCCGCCATTCCGCCGTTCCGGCTTTTAGGGTCACCCCTCAGTGGTCTGATTATTCATAACTGTCGCAGATATATTTTCATACATGCACAGACACGTAGAGTGGAACGCTTGTGGTTGCCTCGAGAAAGCGCTTCGGTTAAGCACACCTTCCTCGAGAAGCTGTCAGACAATGATCTTTTGTTAATACGGGTACCAGTCGAAGAGCCAGTTTATCCATGGATGTTCAACGACTGTTTAAAAGCCTCAGGAAAGAAGCTGAATGTCCTCTGTGCTTAGAGACAGTCAAAGATCCCAAGACTCTGCCATGTTTACACTCATTCTGTTTGGTATGCCTCGACAAACACGCTAACTACGCAAGAAGACAGCTTCGGACAGCAATTAAATGTCCGGTTTGTCAGGCTAGCTTTCAAATCCCTCAAGAAGACACGTTTGGCGGCCTACCCGCGTCTTTTCATCTCAACCGATTGGTGGATCTCCTCGCTCTAACGGATGGTGGTACAGAGTCCCAACAATGTGGCAGTTGCGAAGAAAACAACACTGCGACTCACTATTGTTTTGAGTGCCAGAGCTTTCTCTGTACAACTTGTTTTAAAGCTCATCAACGCATCAAGGCCACAAGAGGTCACAAAAATATCTCTGTCGACAATTTGCAGGCAGACGATGTCGAAAAGTTGATTCGTAGACCAGTCATGTGTTCAGAGCAATATCATCAAGATCAACCACTGGAGTATTATTGCAAAGATTGTAACGTTTGTACCTGCATAAAGTGCAGTGTTGTGAGTCATAACCATCACACTATGGTTGATATGCAGAAAGCTGCAGATGAACAAAAGATGCAAATAGACGAGGCTTTGAAGAAAGTGAAAGCGGAAGTTGTTATTTTTGAAAATGAAATGAAGAACCAAACTGAATTAATGAACAAAAACAAAACACAAATATCGGCTGCCAGAGAGAAGATGAACGAGACTGTGGACGATTGTATTCGCTTATTAACGGAGCATAAGGCGTCAATGAATGCCAAATTCGATGAAATTAATCAAGCGCATCAAAAAGCTCACGCAACACATCTGGAAAACTTCCAGCTCGCTGTCGCGCAGTTGAAAAGTTCTTTGGAACAAGGGGAAAATATCTTGGAGAGGAATATCAATGCTGAAATTCTGCAAACGAAGCCAGTGATTATTGGACGCTGCAAGGACCTTTTAAATGCGAAAAAACCTGAGATATACAAACCACCTGGTGTTCATTACGTAATAGAGCAGAAATTGGATATTTGGGATCGAGTTGTTGTGAGCCATACGGATCCCTCATCGATACTTGTGAAAGATCTTTGTGAGAAGGTAGAAGAACAGAATGAGACATATTTTACTATTATCACAAGGGATTCAGAGGAAAGACCGTGCTATAATGAGGATGATTACATAAAATGTGACATTCGCACTTTAACAGGGGATAGCTTCGAAACCGTACATCTAAAGATTGAGGACAAAGAAGATGGTAGCTACAAAGTAAGATACACACCACCTCATACCGGATTGTATGAAGTAAAAGTTGAAGTCAATGGACAGCCGCTGGATGGTAACCCATGGAGTGTGCAAGTCATACCTCATCAGTATCAGTTGAAGTTCAGTTTTGGTTCAAATGGCAGTGGACCAGGACAGTTTGATGGACCTTATGATATTGCTGTTAATAAGAAAACGGGAACTGTTGCCATATCTGACTATAGAAATGAAAGAATTCAGCTCTTTGGCACTAATGGCCGATACCTGAGAGAGATAGGACTGAGGACTGGCTGTAGCTCATTAGGCTTTACCAAGTCCGGCCAGATAATTGCCGTTACTCCTGGTGATGTTCACAAGATGTCTTTACTCTCTAAGCAGGGTCAGTTTGTCAAGCACATCGACAGTGAGCACTTGAAGTTTCCTTTTCATATATCCACTGATGGCGTTGATGATATCACGGTATGTGATCGAGAGAGTAATGAGGTCATAGCCATCTCTCATGACGGAACAGGGTTAGTAACACGCATTGCTGCTTCAGAACATAGTCGATCAGTAATGTGCGCCATTTATCACAAAGACACAGACCGTTACTTTGTCTCTGATTCCAAAGCTGACCTGGTCAAAGTTTTTGATAAGAACGGAAACTTTCTTTATGAAATTGGCCGTGGAAAGTTACTGAATCCTTTTGGACTTGCTATTGATAAATTCAACAATTTGATCGTCTGTGATACTGGGAACAAGAGACTCAAAGTATTTACTACAAAAGGAGACTTTCTCTCAGAGACTGAACAATGTTTCCACACGCCGCGGTTTATTGCCGTGTCTAAAGAAGGGGAAGTTCTGGTCACTGATTATGAGAAAGACTGTGTTTTTCTATTTCAATAGGCCAGTAGTACGGCGATAAAGGTGTAAAAGACGTGTCTTAGAGCACGAGTTTAGGGCACAAACATGAACAAAACAACTTTTTTTTACAAAGTAATTGGCGAGAAAGCACAGAAGACAGTAAGCATGACTGACTTTAAAAAATGTTTTAACAAGCTAGAGTTGCATACCTAGGACTCCCAATGATAGCACAGTGGACGCATTTCATAAACAAAAAAATTCTAAAACTTAATTATATAGAGCTTTGGAAGAAAGTCGCAAAATATCATAAATGTACAAACTTAGCTAATTTTTTTGGTGCTTATTCTTTCTTTCCAATTTTTTTTTTATTGTCTGATAAATATAGTAAATAAAACATAGCCTATTAAGCGTTTACAGGTAATTGTTTTAATATGGACCTCCATGAAAATCTGATGTATTGCACTTGCTTGGTAAAAGTAAACGTAAGAATAATAATGGTAATGATGATCAGAATAATGATAATAATAATAATAATATTAATAATAATGGTAAAATTTCATCAAGAAATTAGGGATTGAAATAAAAGAGATCAACGTGTTTAAAAGAAAATGACAACTCCTAGATCTCTTCAATACAATCAAAAGACCTTGCCGTGAAACGCTGAGCTGAGCGGACGCATATTTCTCGCTCTGTGTTATTTTATTCTATTAAGTTTCCCTAATTATGACTGGTAAAGAAAACCAACTAAAAAAAGAAAATCAGCAGTTAAGGAATGAAATTGAAGATCTCAAGAAGCAACTGGATAAATTGACTGAGGAAATTGGACATCGACGTCTTTATTTCAGATACTAGATAATGAAGATTCTTATCTTGATGTTGAAAAGATCTCCTCTAAACTTAAGGACTGCATAATGAAAACAAATTGATCCGATTGCTTTCAGTACTAATTTATTTGCTTCTATACTTTATTGAACAACTATTGATGTATTTACCAGTTATGCTTCTCTTTATAATTTAACAATATCTAACTATTTAGTTTTTAATTTTCTTTATATATTGTAAATAATGTTTGTTGATGATTGACCCGCCTCGAATAGCAAATTTGCTATCTGCGGGTCAACATAATCTAAATTATTTTGTAAGAAAAGAAAAATAAAGTGTGTATAAAGTGTTTGTGTGTGTACCTTCAGGAAGTGTTTTTAATTTTTAGAGTTGTCCATCTCTCAGCCGAGCATATGTTTTGAGATATTGTTCTGGCGCTTCGGGGAACGCAAAGCTTAACTTATGCTTCGTGAAAGGGAGAGGTGCAAGTTACTTTAGGACAAGGAAAAAATAGAACCAAAAAGGATTTACGTGAAAATCTTTTTTAGTTGTCCTACCATGAGCAACAAGAGGGGGAGGGGGACGGGGTTTGTGTCCAACTCATCACTGAGTTTCATGACAATTTTTCTGAAAAAGCTAGTTTGGATAACACCTGATGCAAAATCAAGAAAATCTGATGTAAAGAATTTCACTAAGCGGTTATGGCTTTCCTGCACTCTGTGAAAAGTGAAACTTAAACAAATCACAACAACACCAGATACACTGTTTGATTAGAGAAACTTTAATAGAGAGTTTTGATTTACAAATATTCTGTTTCTTTTTTAAAAGCTGATTATCAATACTGTTTTTTTCAAATAGAAATTGTTTATACCTAATTTTCTAGATCATATATCATATCGAAAATGCACGGCGTAAGAAAAAATTCAGAAAGGGGAAAGAGCAACGCTTCTGTTTCCTTGACAACCGCCAATCTTCATTCACATGTAATTTCGTTTGTCTACACTGTGTGAGAGCCTGGAACAAGCTGTATGAAGCACGAAACATTAAGTGGACGGGGAGGTGAAAAAAAAACCTATCATTTCACTAACTTTTCATTTGACCCACAAGAAAATATTTGACCCTCAAGGAAATATTCATCACTCTGTGGTTTAATTATTCAAAACTGTGATAGATATATGAACGGAAACATGGGGTAGTATGCCTGTTGTGAATTTTCTGAGAAAGTGACTCGGTTGAGCACACATTCCTCGAAAATTAACTGTCAGACAATGATCATTTGTTAAGACGGGTGCCAGTCAAAGAGCCACTTTTACCATGGATGTTCAACAACTGTTTAAAAGCCTCAGGAAAGAAGCTGAATGTCCTCTGTGCTTAGAGACAGTCAAAGATCCCAAGACTCTGCCATGTTTACACTCATTCTGTTTGGTATGTCTCGACAAAAACGCGAATTACGCAAGAAGACAGCTTCAGACAGCAATTGAATGTCCGGTTTGTCAGGCTAGCTTTCAAATCTCTGAAGAAGACACGTTTAGCGGTCTTCTCGCGTCTTTTCATCTCAACCGACTGGTGGATCTCCTTGCTCTAACGGATGGTGGTACAGAGTCCCAACAATGCGCCAACTGCGAAGAAAACAACATTGCGACTCACTATTGTTTTGAGTGTCAGAGCTTACTCTGTCGAGCTTGTTTCGAAGCACATCAACGCATCAAGGCCACAAGAGGTCACAAAAATATCTCTGTCGACAATTTGCAAGCAAACGATATCGAAAAGTTTATTCGCAGACCAGTCATGTGTTCAAAGCAATATCACCATGATCAACCACTCGAATATTATTGCAAAGATTGTGACGTTTGCACCTGCATAAAGTGCAGTGTTGTGAGTCATAATCACCACACTGTGGTTGATATTCAGAAAGCTGCAGATGAACAAAAGATGCAGATAGCTGAGGCTTTGAAGAAAGTGAAAGCGGAAGTTGTTATTTTTGAAAATGAAATGAAGAACCAAACTGAATTAATGAACAAAAACAAAACACAAATATCGGCTGCCAGAGAGAAGATGAACGAGTCTGTGGACGATTGTATTCGCTTATTAACGGAGCATAAGGCGTCAATGAATGCCAAATTCGATGAAATGAATCAAGCGCATCAAAAAGCTCACGCAACACATCTGGAAAACTTCCAGCTCGCTGTCGCGCAGTTGAAAAGTTCTTTGGAACAAGGGGAGAATATCTTGGAGAGGAATATCAATGCTGAAATTCTGCAAACGAAGCCAGTGATTATTGGACGCTGTGAGGACCTTTTGAATGCGAAAAAACCCGAGATATACAAACCACCCCGTGTTCATTACGCAGTAGAGCAGAAATTGGATATTTTAGATCGAGTTGTTGTGAGCCATACGGATCCCTCATCGACACTTGTCAAACGCTTTTTTCAGGAGAAGGTAGAAGAACAGAATAAGAGATATTTTTTCATCATCACGAGGGATTCAGAGGAAAGACTGTGTTATAATGAGGATGATTGCATAAAATGTGACATTCGCACTTTAACAGGGGATAGCTTCGAAACCGCTGATCTAGAGATTGAGGACAAGGAAGATGGTAATTACATGGTAGAATACACACCACCTCATACCGGATTGTATGAAGTGAAAATTGAAGTCAATGGACAGCCGCTGGATGGTAGTCCGTGGAGTGTGCAAGTCATACCTCATCAGTATCAGTTGAAGTTCAGTTTTGGTTCAAATGGCAGTGGACCAGGACAGTTTAATGGACCTTATGATATTGCTGTTGACAAGAAAACAGGAACTGTTGCCGTATCTGACCATGGAAATAAAAGAATTCAGCTGTTTGATTCTGATGGCTGCTATCTGAGAGAGATAGGACTGAGGGCTAGCTGTAGCTCATTAGACTTTACCAAGTCCGGTAACATAATTGCCGTTACTCCTGGTGATGTTCACAAGATTTCTTTACTTTCTAAGCAGGGTCAGTTTGTCAAGCACATCGACAGTGAGCACTTGAAGTTTCCTTTTCATGTATCGATTGATGACAAAGAGTACATAACGATATGTGATCACGAGAATAATGAAGTCATAGTCATCCGTCCTGACAGAACAGAGTCAGTGACAAGTATCGCTGCTTCAAAGCATGATCGATCAGTAATGTGCGCCATTTACCACGAAAAAACAGCCCGTTTCTTTGTCTCTTATTCTAAGGCTGACTGTGTCAATGTTTTTGATGTGAAAGGAAACTTTTTGTATGATATTGGTCGCGGAAGTTTATTTTATCCTGTCGGCCTTGCTATTGACAAATTTAACAATTTGATCGTTTGTGATACTGGGAACCAGAGACTCGTGATATTTACTACTGAGGGAGACTTTCTGTCAGAGACTGAAAAATGTTTCCACACACCGCATTTTGTTGCCATATCTAAAGATGGGAACCTTTTAGTCACTGATTATGAGAAAAATTGCGTTTGTCTTTTTCACTAAACCAGTAATAGCGATAAACGCGTTTTAGATGAGTCTTACAGCCTAAGCTTAGGTCTCATTCATCAGCATAAAGCATATTTTGTAACGAAGTAAATAGAAAGAGTGCACAGAACAAAGTAAGCCGTACAATTTTTTGAAATTTTTGATAAGGTAGAAATTTCACTAGGTGTTTATCACCCAGGACTGCCCGGCATTTGATATATAGTGGACACATTTGATTAAAAAAGAATATATTTATATATAGTGAAGTATCATGAATATTAAAACTTATCTACTCTTTTGGTGGTTTTTGATTCTGTCCATTTATTACACTCTTATGGTTATAGTTAGTAGAACATAGCTTGTTAGGCGTTTACAAGCAGTTGTTTGTGGACCACCATGAAAGTTTGGTGCATTGCCCTTATTGAATAAAACATGAAATAATAATGATAATAATAATAATGATAGCAAAAGTTAATCAACAAATCAGGAATTGGAATTAAAAGGGGTCAAAAATAACAACCATCAAAAGACCTTCTAGTAGTGGTACCTTACCAGTACATTGAGGTTTTTCTTTTGGCTGGAAGCAACACTTCTTCTGTGCGTTGTGGGTTATTTAATGTAAAGAAACACGCTAGTTGAATCCAAGAATGGTTATAGCCAACTTAACGCCTCGTTGCCTCTTTTACCATTTCATATGGAATAATTGTTAAATATCAATAAGAGGATTATTAGTTGATCCAATACCAAATTCTCAGAACTAACATCATAGGAATGGTCTAGCAGACAGTAAGGAGAACTGCTAATTAGATTTT